CCTCTGACTTAGACCACATGGGCTATTGGATAATGCTAACCAATAGTCAAACAGCTATTTAGGCAAATTAACATTCAGATTTAGCTCCATTTTGTTTTGGACCACCCACTTTTCACATTGTAAAAAAATATTTTTCAAAGTTTTATTGGCATGTTTCACAAGAAAATACTATTTCAGTCTTTCTACTTCAAAATTTCACATTAAATTGTGTTTAAAATGTGTCAAATTTGCTAGGAATTTCTGAGTGACAACTGTAGTAAATCCTGCAACATTTTTTTTCCAGTGCACCATTCAATCAACTGCCAATGCATAAAATTAAGCGCCACCCTACATATTTTTTTCATATTCACTAAAACTACATCATATACTGAAGTAAAATGGGTTGCTAATGAAATTTCATGTCGACTCTAACACAGATCAGTAGTTTGGGAATGCTGATAACTCGTGGATATCTTATATCTGCGTAGTCTGAAGAGTGAAAGGGTGCTGAGGGATCCTAATAATTTACATTATTGCAGAAAGGGCTAGAGTGAGGAACGGCCGGCGGATTCGATGAAGGAGCGTCCGGCGGACTTGTGGCAAGCACATGTGATGACCCCGGGCTGGACTCTGCTTCGTCCACTGTGAAAGCCGATCCGGCGATCCACAGGGCGAAGTTGATGTATTTCCTCAGCGACCAGCACGGATCAGCTCCAGGCATGACGAAGTGGATATCGTCCTCTTTTGGAAGACCAAACAAACACAACAAATCACACAGTGCCTTCACGCCATGGCGGCGGCGGCAACAAAACTACAGCGAGAATAAAAGTTACGCCTTCTTTCTTTGCGTGAATATTTGGGCGGCGTTATGCAAATCTTCCCACATTGTGATGTAGATATGTGGGGGTGTGTTAGAACGAGCCGTTTTAGGTAGGCGTGGTTGACTCTTAACTTTTATAAAGAATATCTCTTTGGATTTGAGACTTTAGTCTTTGCAACTTTACAGATCTTCTTTATGCACCAAGAGCTTGTAACACTCCAAAGAGAAAGGAAAAATTGAAATTGCATCATATGACCCCTTTAAGTTCTGTCAGTACATTCATATGGTATGCATTTTGTGTATGTTTTATATATTTTCACGTTCTATAATCTTACTGTGATAGTTACGTTGACTGTACAGACACAGAGGTAGTTGATACATGTTACTGTTGAGAGAGAGAAAACGCTACGTTTATAGCACAGGATATTTCACACGGAACATTTCACAGCGGCAATAGATTTGAAGGAAAGCCAGTCATCATAGACGAGGAAACAGGACAACATATTGACCAGTTCACACAGAGAAGATCTTAAAGTCAACATGAACTCAAAATCAACCCTATTTACTTTCATGTATACCCAACTCGGTATTTCCGCGCTGTCTAAAACACGTCTCTATGCTTGGGCGCACTTTGATTGTGTGCGAGAACAGCGCGTGAGTAACGAATTGAGCTCTATTTCGTTTCTTCTTCTTGTGGTTTAAAATTGCTTGTACGTGTAAACTGGCAAATTAATCTGCGAATCACGAGCGTGCCGAACGGTAGGGTTTAACTCCTAATATGTGTCAGATCAGAGCAATCTTTCATTTACTTATTTAACATGAAATTGTCAAATTGCTACTCCATATCGCTCGCATACAAAGAAAATACAGAATAATTTGAACAATCATTAACATAAATAAATAACAGAGTGTCATATCTATACTCAATTCTTCCACGGCCCGGTAGTGGGGGCCTCTGACTTAGACCACATGGGCTATTGGATAATGCTAACCAATAGTCAAACAGCTATTTAGGCAAATTAACATTCAGATTTAGCTCCATTTTGTTTTGGACCACCCACTTTTCACATTGTAAAAAAATATTTTTCAAAGTTTTATTGGCATGTTTCACAAGAAAATACTATTTCAGTCTTTCTACTTCAAAATTTCACATTAAATTGTGTTTAAAATGTGTCAAATTTGCTAGGAATTTCTGAGTGACAACTGTAGTAAATCCTGCAACATTTTTTTTCCAGTGCACCATTCAATCAACTGCCAATGCATAAAATTAAGCGCCACCCTACATATTTTTTTCATATTCACTAAAACTACATCATATACTGAAGTTAAATGGGTTGCTAATGAAATTTCATGTCGACTCTAACACAGATCAGTAGTTTGGGAATGCTGATAACTCGTGGATATCTTATATCTGCGTAGTCTGAAGAGTGAAAGGGTGCTGAGGGATCCTAATAATTTACATTATTGCAGAAAATGACTAAACAAATAATCTGAGAAATCACTTAAAGTGAGGTCAAACTTGCTCTTGAAATTCATATTTCATTCAATAATGCTACATATATGGTGGAAAGAAGTGTTTGGTTAAATGACCACTATTAAAAAAAAAAGCAATTCTTTCACGTTTGCGGCCTCTGGCATCGATGGAAACTAACAATCCTCAACATCGACTGACAGCTACATTATCCGAGCTGCATGATTCTGAGGAAATCAGCCAAAAATACTGAATATTCTCGAATCATCAGTCGATAATTAAATGTCCCAAAAGAAACATTGCAAAGCATAATATAAAATGCATTTCAATATAAAAAATAAATACATCATACTCCCAATGCTGTGAGATGATTAAGACACAAAACACAAACAGAATGGGCATTTCCCTTTTCCTAAAGACTTTCAGCGCTTTTTACTCCAACTCAACACACGGTCGGCCACCCAGCCTGACTCTATAGGTTGGATTAACAGAGATACACAAAAGAAACATTCTTTAAAACAAAACGCACTACAATAACATTAGTATTCTTTACAAAAGGAATAAGACAGATAAAATAAATTCTTCTTTCAGTATCAACACAGAAAAGCTTATATTTACCTGCTTGCATTTGTATGTGTACGCATGACTGTGTGTGTGAGGGAGAAAGAATGAAAAAAGACAGATGAAGTGAAAAGGGATAAAGAAAGAGATGAAAAACGAGTGTGATTGGGGGTGTGGGAGAGAGAAGACTTGTGTTTGGTGAGCACCAATGGAATATAGCCAGGTTTCTATATGATTGGCATTCCTCTCACTGGCTAGCCAGTGGGAAAAAGCTTTCAATTCCCAAAGGAAGGAACCGAACAAAAAGCAAATCAAACAAACACAAAAAGACTCTTTGATACAGTCTGTGAAGCCACATTATGGACTTATAGAGGCCAGGAATAAATTAGGATAGACGCACAGATCCTTATTATGCACAATTCAGACCACACAGACACCCGTCGATCCATCTAATCGACCCATCCATCCATTTATCACATGAGGAGGGTCAGAGGAGACGTCGTGATGTTCTCAGGATGAGATACTCTGTTTGTGTAGCGAAACACTTGAGTTCTCTCAACACTGAAGGTCTGTCAACATCCATCCCATCAAAAACTCTCCACTTTAAGTAGTTTGGTAGAAAAAAAGGACTCCTTCCTTATTCAGGTTTCCCTTTGAAAGTTCTTAGCGCACTCGTCATCCTTAGCATCACTCTAGCTGTGTGTCTGTGCCTATGAGGATCCATTGAAGCTGAACAAAATCCCAAAACTGGTTTTGGATAAAGCTCAATGAGAACACTATGGTTCACTTTTAGTGCATTGAATATTCCAGCGATACGCTTGACCCATTGAACGTCTATAATACAAATGTCAAATGGTTAAAGGTGATCTGAAGTTTGGATCATAATGGTGAAAAGCTTCAACAGTAGGATCTGGTGATATTCCGTACACACCCGGTACAGAATGAATGAATATGGATCTAATACTGTCGTAATAGTGTGCGGGACATAGCCAGATGGGCCACAGGGGGTGGGTCTGTTGTTTGTTCCTGAACGCAAACTCTTTTTTTGCGTGAGACCCAAACTTCAGAGTCTGTGACAAAAGAATAAGCAAACCTTTGACCTCCTCAAAGCTGTGCAAAGTTTGATCGGTGGATTATACGGGTGGTTTGATTTCACTATTCGCTTTGGGTTTCACATCTGAAAGAGAATGAGAGGAGGAAAGAAAGTTACTCATGTTAAAAATACTGAGCAACACTTTACTTCAAGCCTTTCATAAACAATTGTAACCACAGTGGTAATGCATTAAAATTGTTAAACTACCGTTCAAAAGTTCAGGACTGGTAACTTTTTTAATGTTTTTGAAAGAAGTCTCTTATATTCATAGAGGTTGCATTTATTTGATCAAAAATACAGTCAAAATAGTGATATATATATATATTTATTTGAAACAGAAATCTTTTGTAACATTATAAATGTCTTTACTGTCACTTTTGATCAATTTAATGCATTCTTGTTGAATACAAATATGATTTTATAATAATTGAAAATCCCTAAGAAATGGCTCAACATTCTCATTCTAAACAGAAATTGACTGTGTGTGTGTGTATATATATATATATATATATATACACACACACACACACATACAGATATACAGTCATATATATATATATGTACAGTATATATTAGAACTGTGTGTGTGTGTGTGTGTGTGTGTGTGTCAAATGCTTTTTTTTTCTGCAGGTCATTGATGGAGAAACGCTTCCTTGTGCAATAAACTCCCAAATGGAGAGCATGCCAATGTGTGTAAGGGTCTATTTTTAGCACAATAAGCTACATTTGAATAAGTTGTATATATGTGTGTTTGTTTACCGGCAGCTGTGGTGGTTAAGTGTCTTCCCTCTCTTTGTACAGCTCACCTCCCTCAAACTGCACCTGCATTCACAAGAGGGAGGCTGTGATGTCATCCTGCGGGTGGGGCACGGAGGACACGCCTCTCTGGCAGGTGGTGGAGGGGCGGAGCTAGGCGGTAGAGTGGGAGGGGGAGGAGGAGGGGGTGTAGTTGGCACGAGAGTCCTGTTGGCACAAGAAGAGAACAAAATCAGCTGTTGGTGTGAAATAAAGGGTCATGCGACCTTCATATATATGCCTTAAAGGAACAGTTGGACCAAATATAAACATTTTGTTGTTATTTATTTTACATTAAAAAGTTACAAAAGCTTTCAAAAGGCATGAATATGTACTAAAAGGTACTAATATGCATCTTTTAGGATTAAATACGGTACAAAGGTGAACGTTTTGAAAAGGTACCACCCCAGTGACAGCTTTTGCACCTTTTTTCTGAGAGTGCAGTATGAGAATAAGTAAATTATGACACAATGTCATTTTTGGCAAACTATTCTTTGATTTCAGTTTCAAGTTGTGAAAACTGTAAAGAGGTCCTAAAGTCAGGAGGAATTTTAAAATAGTAAGAAAAGACTCCAAGTAATTGAGTAACACAATTCTGATTATAATACTGGTTCTGACAAATCCGGCTCCAAGAGAATTATGTAAAACCGCTACAATGGACAAAGAGCACGTCAGTTCTTGCAATCATTAACTTTGCAAAACCAGACCCAAGCCTGCATCTCCACATTAGGCTTGAAATTAAATTCAGTAGCAAGCACAAAAAGACCCATAATGCATTCTGATCATGCACAGCCCTGATCTTCTTTTTGGATGGCACCACAGATATACTCTGGATAGTGTCTTTGGCCGTCAGTTCTTTGATGTCTCATTTGTGACATCTCTGATGGGATGGTGGGCTGATGGGGTTGTTTTTTTCCCTCTTCCCTTTTTTAACTAAACCAAAACTGGAGAGCAGTGTATGGGTGAGAGTTAATTAAGGAAGAAAATCAATCTTTGTGTGGAAGTGGTTTGAGAGGCTGAAAAGGGAGGGGCGTTCTGGCTGCCAAATTAGCCTGATTTCACACTTGCCACTGACTCCATCCATGGAGGAGTAAATGATGGATAGCAGGGAGGGAAAGGCGGTCCAAAGCTCCCTCCACTTGCCCTCATCAAAAACCAATGACGTAGAAAAGGAAGGAGAGGAACTGTTGAATTCTTTCCCTGACCAGAATTAATTAATTGTTGTCTGAGTAGAAGTCAATGTTGCATGCGTAAACGTGCAATACGGCACGTATGAAAAAGAGGAAATCTTCAGCTCTCATTGCCCAGAAACTCATCTATGGGAGTCATGTACATTGTTGCTTCGAAATAGATTTTAATATTTAATAATATTGATGGTACTAAATAAATAAAGGCAAAACAAAGATTAATTATTAAGCATATTGCTAAACTGCTTCTATTAAATGTCTATCATTTGTAATTTCTACGATGACAAAAAGGTACCAAAATGTACCATGGTATTCTTTGAAGTAATTTAAAGTGGAAATATAAATACCATGGTAAATGAATATGGTATTCCATACTGAAGTAGATCTTAAAATTCAGGGGGGGAAAAACATTTCATTAATCAGTATTTTTTCTTATTTTCCAGTAAAAATATGTAAACAGTTATTGAAAATAAGATTCATCTGAGAAGTAAAATTGAGTACAATATCAATATCATCTCTTTTTTTTAAGCATAACCTCATGTCTTAAGATTTTATGCAATTTTGCTTCTCAAATACATTTATCTTGTTTTAAGAACATTTTACTTGAAATTAAAAATAAAATGTAAAAATTTTAAATTGAATGAAAAATATATTTTTTATGTAACATGGCAGTATTTTTTGTAATAGGAAATGAAGAACTTACGGCTTTTTCCCCATGTGTTTCTTTCGCTTTGGTTTCCCCCTTTGCTCCTTTTTACCTTTTCTTGTTGTCTGTGAGCCTTGCCTTAAAAATAGAAAATATAATAAATATAAAAAATAAATAGATAAATAATGTACAATATGATCATGACTCAGCCAAAACGTGTTTTCACAAACATGTGAAACATTTTTATGTTGAAACATGTCAACATAAAAAGTATTAAACTGTATTTCACAATTTTAATTCAGAGATTTAATTTGGAGAGTCTGGAGATGAATTTATCAAGTCTTAATTCTTGTGACTTTTAAGCCCTGGTCTCGGTGAGGCTCCTCAGGGGCCAGTGGCCTAATTAAGCAATAGAATGAATGTTCTGTTCCGTTTCCCAACAAAGGAGGGTTCTAGGTTCTGACTCCCTTCCAACAGTGCAAGACGCAATCCAGCTGGACACACACACACACACACACACACAAAGACGCAAGCCAACTGGAAACACACACACACACACACACACACACACACACACCAAAGCAACTGATTAAGTCTTTTAGAAGTCAGATATTTTTGGCAAATTACAAATGCAGTGTTTTATTCCCTCTACAGACAGTCTTATAAGATCATTACAAACCACATGTGCGACATGTAGAACGTACGATGATGACACATACTGAATCATAAGCTATGATGCAAGTTAATATAAAAGAATGAAACTTTTAGGAGCCACAATGAAAGAAATCGCCATGATTGTTTCTTGTTGGTTGTCTTTAGTCTGGGACAGTCCAAAATCATACAATGTATCCTGGGCATTATTAAGGTATCTCTATCTACATAAACATATTCTACTGGCATGAACTCACTGGAAATTTAAACAACTTCTTTATTTTATCCCATGCCAATCTTTCTCTGATTCTATATTTTGTCCTATGCCAATCATCTTTCTTTTATTCTTTTTCAAACGAACTTTTCCAAGAAATGTAAGCTGTACCAAAAAAAATCCACATTAAATGAACAGACTGGCTGTCCATTTGGCAATAAAAGGGGAGAATTACTTGTAAAAACTGATTTCACAGCAAAGAGAAGTGTGAACATGAGGACCAATGCCAAGTTCACACACTACATCCTACTTAAATACATTTTTAATTAATTACCGCCTGCTCTCATCACTGTTCTAATGCCACTATTGGTTATAATTAGCATATATTATTGTCAGCATACACACTTGAACGTGGCTCAATCTTGAAATGAAATGGTCAAAAATAGTGGTGTAAAAGTATCATTAGTTGTTTGAAAAATCTAAATATAAAATGTCATCCCACACGGTTTGTGCAACAGACATGAATGATGCCTCAAATCGTGTGGCTCCCTGAGGAGTGTGCAATTACTTTTCTAAGCAGTCAGATTTGTGTTTTTTGTGTAGAGTGTCTTGGACAGGACTGTGAAAAAGATATTTGGAAAAAGCAGTAGCTGTTCTCTTTAACATTAGGGTCAGCGTAAACTAGTATCAGAGCAGAACACACTGAACCACTTATGCCTTTCACACACAATTAACTCACCATGCATCCATCTCCATGGAGTTGTGTGTGTGTGTACTTTTTATGCTACACTGTGGGAACCAAATGTCCCCACAAGGATAGTAAAACCTAAAATTTTTGACATTTCGAGGGAAAAAAATTATTAAAAATAGTAAATGATGTTTATCTGAAAGTGTGACAATGCAAACAGTTTTTCTGTAAGGGGTAGGTTTAGGGTTAGGTTAGGGGATAGAAAATATCGTTTGGTCAGTTTAAAACAATAGAAATCTATGGAAAGTCCCCACAATTCACAGAAACAAACATGTGTGTGTGTGTGTGTGTGTGTGTGTGTGTGTGTGTGTATGAGTATGTTTTCAGTGGGGCAAAGGAAAAAGAGGGCAAATGGTGTTCATACTGCTGGTGAACCTTCACATCTCTCTCTCTCGCACACACACAAACAAACACAAATAAACAATTTACCTGGTTGGCTCTGCATAAAGATTTGCTTTTAGCCTGTAGGGAAAAGACAGACAGTAAAAACAAAATGATAATGACATTTACAATTAAAAGAAAGATCAAATATTATCACAGCATACACACAGGGATATTTAAATTTGTATTATTTTATTATTGTTATTATTTATATATTATTATTGCTCATATTTTATCATTTTAAATGAACCCCTAACAATAAGTATTAAACTCTGGGGGCTTAACTTGTTCTGTGCTGCTAAAAAAAGCGAGCATCAATTATTTCCACTCTGAGTGCAAGTGGTGCAACGCAAAGCAACAAAACTACATGCATACATTAATCAATTTATTTTAAGCACTTACAATGAAAAGAAAATCTAGTTTTGCTGTGCTGCAAATGAGGTATACAATCACATTGAATTGGGTGAGTAATAAGATTATTTTACAAAAGGTTTTGCAATTTATCAAGTCTTATTATTAATTAACAATTGTGAAGCAAAACATCTGGATATGTTAATACAGTCATCACTGATTGGTGCACAAAAATGCTGCTTGTTATACATTCAAACTTCTATTAACTGTAGCAACACAAATTTGTAATAATAATATCCAAAACTTGACAGTGCAAAACAGACAACCTAACTCAAAATGGACTGGTTTCTAAACTTTCCAAATGTTCTTTGCTTTTAGTGATTCTATCGAGTTTTCAAGAGAAGTTAAAGTAATCATTCACCCAAAAAATTAAAATTAGCTGAAAATTTTCTCATCTCAGGCCATCCAAGATGTAGATGTATTTGTTTCTTCATTGTACCAGATTTGGAGAAATTTAACATTTGATTTAGCACTTGTTCACCAATACATCCTCTGCAGTGAATGGGTGCCGTCACAATGAGAGTCATAAGTTATAAACACAGCTTTTCACTTCACAAGATGATAACTGATGGACTGGAGTGGTGTGGATTACTTGTGGATTATTGTGATGTCTTTATCAGCTTATTGGACTCTCATACTGATGGCACCCATGTGGACTCATTGGTGAGCAAGTGATCAGATGTAATGCCAAATTCCTCCAAATCTGTTGCGAGGCAGAAACAAATTCATCTACATCTTGGTTGACCTGAGCATAAGTACATTTTCAACTAATTTTCATCTTCGGGTGAACTACTCCTTTAAGATATGACTTGGGCCAGTAAGCAACCACCCAGAACATCCTGGCTTCCATCCGAAACGCTTAAGCAACCACATAACCATCCACAACATCTAAATGAGGATTTATTACTCTGCATACTTCTGCATGAGATAATGTAGATCAGAATTGTGTTAATGTTAGTACTTGATTGTGCATGTTAAAAAGGCCCACCGTAAATGCACTTTTATTTTGAAGTGTTTTGGCGATCAGCCAGTGTTTGATTGCACTGTCAACCCTCAACTTCAAGCAGAGGTAAAACAATTGTTAAGTTGGCAAAATCAACAGTCACAACCTCCTCAGGCATTTTCTACCCTTCCTGTACTTTGCCGATCCAAAGCAGACCGCCCTAAACCAGTTCCAGCCCCAAGAAAGCCAAGAGCAACTGAACCTGTAGCAAATCCAAACTATGCCCAAGCCTCTCATGATGCATCACAAGATAGTAGTTCAGCAGAAAGTGTGGAGAGTTCTGAGTATTCAAGCAGTCAAGAAAGTTTGTCCTCTTCTGTTGATAACATGAGAAACCTGTCCCTGAACTCATCCAGGCAAAAGAAAGTTAACACCAGTCCAACAATTGATAGACGATTTTGTCAGAGAAAAGATGGAAGAAATCAAGCCAAGATGGTGAGAAGTTATGTTCGATCTCCCTCACCACAATATTCTTCCAGACCACGGCACAGCTTGTCTTCTAGGAGTAAGAGACGGCACCACAACTCTCCAAGTCCACCTACTGACCAGGAAAGAGTATATTGTGGCCCTACTCCTACAATTCCTGATCTGATTCACCCAAACCCCAGAGAGTTTGCACGGCTTAAGATTGCTTTAGAAAACATTCTTCCAACTGATGCTACAGAACGCTTTAAATTTCATATCCTGCTAGAATATCTCAAGCTTGAAGAGGCTCAGTTAATTGCTGAATCTTACAGCAGTTCACATCATCCTTATACCAACATTATGGATGCCCTCAATCAACAGTATGGCCAGCCACATCAGTTAGCGTTGCAGCGCATATTGGAATTGATGGATGGGGCCAGCATCAGCACTGGAGATATTAAAACTTTTTGCATGTATACTCTGAGGGTGAGATCTTTGGTGGGAATGCTGAGACAACTAGGTAAGCCTGGCATGGTGGAATTAAGATGTGGCTTGCATGTGTCCAGACTTCTGAGTAACTTGCCACATGATCTGCGCAGCAGTTTCAGAAGATTTATTTATCCATTAGACGTGAAGATTCCTACCCTCCTTAAATTCGCAGACTGGTTAGAATATGAAATCCAAGTTTAAGAAGATTCCACAAGGTATGCAAGCTGTTCGGGCAGAGAATGCTCAATCAGTTTGTCGAGGGATATGTCAAGGAAAGTGAAATTCCACAAAGGGACAGAAGTTCTGTTTGGCACCAAGAAATCCCCTTCATCACCTCCATCACATCTATCACCGGTCTCAGCTAAGACCATAAAAGGGAAAGCTTACTGCCCTTATTGTGATAACACCAAACACACGTTAAATAACTGTGTAAATTTCTCTCAACTTTCCAAATCTCAGAGGCACAATTGAATCAAGGGGCACAACCGATGCTGGCGCTGTGGACTGGGCCATAGGTCATCAGAGTGTAACCATAAAATGCACTGCAAAACATGCAATGTTCATCACTTGCTTGTTCTTCATGAAGTTAATGCATGGAACAAGGAGAAAGCAGTGGAAGGAGAGGATCCCTGTGCTAGCCCTGTCATGGGGGAGGCCACCAACGATGTGTTATTCATTGACAAGCCCCCAGGAAGTCGTAAGGTACTGTTAAAGATATGTAAAGTCATTCTAAGAAATGAAGATAGATCCATGAATGCTTATGCCATTCTTGACGATGGCTCAGAAAGAACCATCTTGTTGAATGCTGCAGCAAACCGGCTGAAACTGAAAGGTAAGCCAGAGGACTTGCCCCTGCGCACAAGACAAGAGTTAAAGATCCTGCATGGGGCGGCTGCTTCCTTTAACCTTTCACCAGCCTGCCAGCCAAACAAGATATATCGGATCAATGGAGCTTTCACTGCATCAGAGTTGGGGCTTGGAGCACACAGTCATCCTGTTAAAGCTTTATGGAAAATGTACCACCACCTTAAAGGTCTTCTCCTCCAAGAGATTGAAACTGCTCATCCAGTTTTGATCATTGATTCTGATTGCCCTCATTTAGTTACCCCCATTGAGCCAGTTCGCTTGGGCCCACCAGGTGGTCCTGCTGCAATTAGAACTTGTCTGGGATGGACTTTGCAAGGACCAGTTCAAGCTGTTCAACATGGCTCCAGAGAGCAACAGGGCCTGCTCACCACAAGTTGTGAACGCTGTGAACAGCACTATGTGGATTCAGAAAGTAATCCTGCCAATGACATCACTCGAGGTAAAAGGCTAGCAGAACCAGGGCCACAAAGTTGTTGGAATACAGGGTCATCATTCATTCAGCTTCCATCTAATCAGTGGCCGGTTAACCCGCCATCCTGTCCGGTAGCTGGTGATGGACTAAGAAACTATACATTCTGTGGTCTGACTAATACTGCACATTTGGCTATACCTGATCCAAGCAAATGTCTGACCTTTCAAGAGTTATTGGCTGTCACTGCAGAATCTCTCAGGGAACATGGGTATCATCTGAAGTATTTCAACAGGCTGAGATAGCTATCCTTCAGCAAGCTCAATGGGAAAGCTTTCCTTCTGAAATGACACAGCTTACAGCTGGAAAACAACTGAATACTAACAATTGACTTCCTAGCCTCACCCCCGAACTTGAACCGGCAAGTCAGCTCTTAAAGATAGGAGGTCATCTTCACCGCTGTGAAAAGACTGAGCCGGAGTCGATGCATCCTCTTGTCCTTAATCCCCAACATCCAGTCACTACCTTTCTCATTAAAGGGTTAGTTCACCCAAAAATGAAAATTAGCCTATAAATTACTCACCCTCAAGTCATCCTAGGTCTATATGACTTTCTTCTTTCAGACTAATCCAGTCGGAGTTAAAAATTGTCTTTGATCTTCCAAGCCCCCCCACTGGCAACCCCAACTGGTTTAGCTTTACCAGTTTTCTTTATGGTCCTTCGAGCCGGAGTTAGAGTTTTCCACAGTTATGGAGATGCAGCCATCCGATGTGCCTGCTGAGCGGCCCAGGAGACAATCATCTCTACCTGCACACTTGCAGGATTATGATTTGACTGGTTACAATCTACATAGATCCTTATCACCACCCAGCTATTCCCATAAATTCCCCTGTGCTGTGTCACCTGAAGAGGATGTCAGGATGGACACCCCACGTGTGGCAGCACATCATAGTGATTATCACAGTCCTCAACAGTGGTATGTGGCAGATCGATGGGATCAGCAGGTGGAAACCTTCCGAGAGGAAAATGCTGATTTAAAGAAACAGCAAAAGGACATGATTACTACAGTTCAGCAGCTGAAGGAGGAAAGAGATGATCTTATGCAGCTCAACGCCAAGTCCACGTCACAGATGTCTCAACTTCAAGCAGAGGTGAAACAATTAAGTTGGCAAAATCAACAGTAACAACCTCCTCAGGCATTGTCTACCCTTCCTGTACCTAGTCAGTCCAAAGCCCTAGATCGCCCTAAACCAGTTCCAGCCCCAAGAAAGCCAAGAGCAACTGAACCTGTAGCAAATCCAAACTATGCCCAAGCCTCTCATGATGCATCACAAGATAGTAGTTCAGCAGAAAGTGTGGAGAGTTCTGAGTATTCAAGCAGTCAAGAAAGTTTGTCCTCTTCTGTTGATAACATGAGAAACCTGTCCCTGAACTCATCCAGGCAAAAGAAAGTTAACACCAGTCCAACAATTGATAGACGATTTTGTCAGAGAAAAG